CTGAGGTGACCAGCAGCACATTTCCCTGGGCAGCTTTGGGCTCTGCCTTACCTGGCATTAACTCATCCTTGCCATCCCTGCTCCTGTGGGACCCCCAGCCCCATCTCCTGCCTCTGGGGGTGCTTGGGAAAAGTGTCCCAGGGCTCCAGCCTGCTCAGAGCCTTTCCACACAAACCTCTGAGACCTTTGGTACAGCTGCTGCAGCACCTCTTCATGAAGAAGCTTCATCACCCGTTGTCCCAAAGCTGCCACCACACCCTGTGACAGCATCACAGTGTCTGAGTGGTGGCAAAAACCTTCTGCTGTTTCAAATCTGATGGGAGATCCAATCTTGTCCCGTGGCAGGAGATTAAACTAGGTATTGGGAGAAAATTATTTGCTGGGTGGGAAGATCATCTCATTCCAAACACCTTCCCAGGTGCTCGGATGGGGCAGCTGCTCTGGGCACCCTGTGCCAGGTCCTCACCCCCTAAGGGTGCCAAACAGCCTGCCTGGGTGCCAGATCAGTAGGAAACAGAAATGTGTCTCCACGTTTTTACTCCCTGGACTCAGCTGAATCTGTTTGCAGAGCCATTGCAGCCTTTGCAGTGATGAGCTGGATAATCTGGAAATGGGCACTGGGAATGTGCCATGCAGGGAAAAGCACAGGGACAGCAACAAGGGGCAGCAAAAGGAATTTTTTTGCTCCTTGTTGTATAGAGTGCTCCCAAAAACCTCTATAGCTGATGTGCTTGGCTCTTTTTTTCCATTTTCCAGGAGTGAAAATGCTCTTTATTGCTGTTTATTTGTAGTTCTCCTGGTCCCTCAGCCCCCCAGGGGCAGGGGCACTTTTGGCCTCTCAGTATTTGTGTTATCTTTGCCCTGCTGGGGCCCCTGAACATTAAACTGCCCTGCCAGGGAACAGGGGATGTTTCCTGGGATGTGTTACCTCCTGCAGAAATGTAAATAATCCCTTTCCAAAAAACAACTGCAGAGGTTCTGTTCAGCTTTTTTGTCCTCGGGTGCTTCTGTTGCGTTTTGCCATCTCAGCAGTGGCACCACTTCTGGGCTTGTCTCCTTTTCCTTGTTTTCCCCCTTAAAAAAAGATGATGTTTTGCAGTAAATACATTTCAAGTGAAGCTGAACCAGCATCCAAAAATGCTGTCAGACCCCCCCATCTGAAGGTAAGGAAGAGCATCTCTGTTAACCTGGCACTTTTACCTGGCACCTTTACCTGGCTCACTTCCTTTTTTTAAAAAAAATTAAAATTGTGACCTAAGCCATGGGAGCAGTGGGTGCAGCCATGTCCTAAGCCAGGCTGGCCCATGACCTGAGGGGCTTCCAGAAGCCAAATAATGTATTTATTGGCTTAAATAAAATACAAGATTGTATTTGTTGTATACACAATATTGCATTTATTGTATACATAAATAATGTATACACAAATGTATTTGCAAACCTTAAAGCAAACCCCTTTGTGCAGAGCACTTAAATCTGTTCCCAGGAAAACTGGAGGTGCCAGCTTGTCCTGTAAAACAGAAGGGATGCATTGACACAGCAGCACAGGCTTCAATTTGCTGCCTTTGCCTGTTGCAAAATGCCTGGATAACAACCCCAGAGGCAGGAAATTCCATGGTTTTTGCTCACTTTGGGCTAGAAACCAGCAAACACCACTCCTGCTTTTCCTTGTGCCTGGAGCTTGTTGGCACTGCTCCGTTTCTCACCTGGCTGCAGTGTGGCGTAGATGGATGTTTCATTGCTCACACACCGTGCCAGGAATAAAAAGTTTGGATTTTATTTTTATTTTATTTATGCTCTGGGAAGCAGGAGGGGCTGTGTCAGTGCAGGCAGGGTGCTGTCTCCACCTGCATTGTCCAAAACCATCTGTGCAGCCCAAGGATGGAGCTGAGCACGGAGTGAGTTTATAGTGGCAATAAAGAACAAGCCCTGAAGGTGCTTTTGGAAACAAACTGTTCCAGCTGTGCTGACCTTGCGTGAGGAGGGCAGCACAGCCCTGGGTGCCTCAAGGTCACCTGGAGTTCCCTGGTGGGTTTCTTTTTTATTTTGTTTTTTTGTTTGTTTTGTGATGCTTTTCCCACAGCGAACGTGAAGCTTTTGTATTTTCTGCCCTTGCCTCACCTCATGCAGAAAAAGGAATTAATTGCAGAGATGTGCACAGTGCCAGCGAGGGTGTTCTGCTGGGATGGAGGATGTGGAGTGGCCTCTCCTCAGTGCCCACAGCTGGGATTTCCAGCACAGAGAACCAGTGAGGACAAGGAGCTTGAGAACTGTGAAAAGTATGGAATATCTTACAGTAAAGTATGGAATATATTGAAATAGATGTTTATTGTTGGGAGTATACAAAAGCAACTGGGAATCTGAACACAAGAAAGGGGAGAGAAAAGTTCCAGGGGAGGATGGCAGGGAAGGCTTGGAGGCAGAAATCTCGGGGAGGGGGAAGAGCAGGGCTCTGTCAGGGCTTCCCAAGCTCCATCAGGGCATAAAGGAAATCTCAACAAATAAAAGAGCTCCAGAATATGGAAATGAAGATGGAATTGGGAAGGAAAAGCAGCAGCAGGCAGCAGGTTGGAGGCTGAAGGTAACCTAAATCCTGCCACGGGTGGAAAAAGTGCTTCACCCCATTTTTGTGGTGGGCAGGGCAGAGATCCAGAGCTGGATCTTCCTAAATAAGATCAAACCCAAAGATGGATTGTGCTCAGCTGTGTTTCATCCCAGGGAACAATCAGACTTAAAAGTCCAGCCTGGCCTGCTCTTCAATGGCTGACTCATCACTTCTTCAGTGAATTGCAAGATGAAGGATTCATGGAGAAAATGGAAATTTGGGTCATTTGCTGGGGAAGAAGATGGAAAAAGAAAATGAGCGAGTAGAGACCACATCATGCAGGCCAAGGCACAAACTGAGCTGTAAGTAGGAACAATTACAAAGTGCCTGAAAGGAAAGATAGAGTCTGTTACTGAGAGCAGGGGAAGGGAAAGGGGAACTCTCAATGTTGCACCTGAAAATACATGAGCTGTGGAGGACTGGCAGAGAAAAAAAAAAAGAATTTATATAAATAGATAAAAAGATTGAGCAGCTGCCTCCCTACCATGTGCTCTCATTTTCTCCTGCTGCCAGAGAACACGGATGTTCCTGATTTATTTACTCCTAATTACTGAGATCCAGACTTCCCCTGATGAGATAAATGTAGCTCAGGATGCTGGTTTTCCCCTTCTCTTCCCTCTGGGTGTCTCCCCAGCATCTGCATCCAAACCCTGTGGAATTCCAGCTCTCCATCCCCACCCCTCTCCAAGGTGCCTGTGTGGCAGGAATTTATCCAGCTGCACAGGGCATGGCACATCCAGCAAAATCTGGTCTGGGTCAGTGGGAAAGAGATGGAAAAGAAGGGGGCAGAAGAGGGGGAGTGTGTGCTCAGAGGTCTGGTGGAGGTTGTTGGCACAGCTGACAAGGGCAGAGCAGTGCCAGCTGATATTTATGAGGCTGCTCTTTCCATTCAGGGTGATGAACAATCCTTTTTTCCTGGCTGCTGCTGCAATTGCTCACCTTTACCTACCAAATAATACAACCCTGCTCTTTTCCCAGTTGTGTTTCTGCACGGCAAAGCCCCTTGTTACGTGTGCCAAAAGGCTCTGCAAAATGTGAGATGTGCAGATTGGACACATCCAAAGTTCTGCTGTCTCCCTGAAATAACCTGTGTCACCACAGCTTTGCTGTCTGCTTCACAGAGCCTCTGTGGAGGAAAAACTACCGGGAAAGGAAAGTCATTCTGGAACAGCTTTGCTTCTTGTTTTTTGGCACAAAAGCTTGTCCAGAATAGCTGAAAACCCGAGCAGAGGAGCCCAGAGGGACCTGAGCTCGCTCAGTTCAGAGAGGGGCAGAGCAGGGAGGTTTCTTTCCATCATTGCCCTTGTTTAGCAAACACTTCTCCAGATCCAAGCAATCCTCTTATCTGGCAGGAGCACTTCTCTAAGCCCCCTCAATCATTCTTGGTGTCCAGAACAAGTTGTCAGCCAAAATACTCTCTGAGAACGGTGTTTGTTTTCCGAACACAGCTCTGCTTGGCGGCCGCACCGTTTCCAGTGCCTGGACGGAGATAAAAGAGACATGGCTTGGCTCAGGAGCTCAGATCCCAAGGGAGGTGCCACCTGGGCCAGGTTTTCCCCTGCCCAGGAGTGCTGCCAGGTGGAGACAGCTCTGTGCCCAGGGGAGCAGCTCCAGGTGCTGAGGAAACACCCGGTGTGCAGCCAGAGGTAAGACTTGGTGATGTGTGCAGGGCAGGAGAAAGGGATTTCTCCTCATCCCAGTTCAGTTCCAAACCAAGGCCACTCTGGGTCTCCCCTCAGGAGTGTTTTTCTTTCTGTCTGTCATTCAGTTGTCACATAAAGGTGTTTTGGTGCAGCTGCGTTTTGGCTGAAAAAACTTGGAGTAGCTCTGGAAGGCGTCTCTGTTACTTAAAAAGCAGGGTGGTTTCATTCTGCAGATGGGATCAAACCCCTGTTTGATGCAAGCCACTAATTCAATTTAAAACTATGTAATGTTGAAGGAAAAATTAACTGGCAAATTATCTCCCTTACCCACATCTTGATTCCTAAAGTATCCCTTGGAATATCTTAACATTTCCAAAAGAAGTTTTTGCCTAAGTAGCAGTGTCTTGATGGCAGAAGGAGTTTAAGTGAAATTGAGTGAAATTTCACTGAAATTGAGTGAAGTTCCTGTTTCAAAACAAGAGGGATGGTGAAGGAGCACGGGGGATGCTCTGTAGCTGTGCCCCTGATTTGGGGGTTGTGGTTAATCAGCTCCAGAAGTGACAGCAAACGAATCAGCCTTGGGAAAACGCCTTGGTTTGCTTTGTCTGAGATAATTTCCCTTTATTTATTTATTTGTTTGTGTGTTTATTTGTTTATTTATTTACTTATCTGCCCATGGCACGAGCCCTGGAGCTAAGCAAAGCCCCTGTGCCCCTCACGCCCGCCTGCTCTCCTGCCTCGGCTCCCCTGTGCCCATGGGGGACACGTCCAGCCAGGAGCCAGTACCCAGCAAAGCCACCCTGGGCTCCCTCCGGCCACACCAGGCTCCTGCCACCTTGATCAGCCTGGAGGAACACGAGCCCACAGCCTCCAGCAGCAGGGAGCTGATCCTGGAGAAGGCCAGAGCAGCCTGGGCAGGTCCCTGCACCGGCTGCTCCCGCTGCTGCTGCGGCTGCCCCCGCACCCAGCTGCTGGGGGACGTGGTTTTGGGGCTCCTGGTGGCCGTGGTGGCCATCCCTCAGTCCATCTCCAGCTCCCTGCTGGCCCACCAGGATCCTGTCTACGGCATCTACACCAACTTCTTCTGCGACATCATCTACGCGGCCACGTCCATGCTTGAATTTGTGAATGCAGTGATTTTAAAAGTGCAGACACAGCTGAATGGGGGTTGTTTTCCTCCACGGGACAACCACGTCCTTGGATGTGTCTGAGACATCCTCAGGATCAGACACAGCAAGAGAAGAGAAGGATCTGTGAACCACCTTCCCAGCACCTCAGTCCTGCAGCTGGGCAGCTCAGACTGGTTTGGGGCAGACAAGGACCACCCTCAAGGACCCTGCCATGCTCCCTGGCAGTGTTCCCACTGCCTAGGCTGAGCTGTCACTGAGCAATTCCAGGCTTTTCCACTGGGACAGCTGAAATTCAGGGTATCCCAAGTGAGTGATACCCAGAGCTGCTCTGGTGGGGCTGCTCGTGAGGAGGCAGCAGCAGGGATCTCATAGGATTTTCTGTGTGGCATCCCCAGCCACAGGGAAGTGTTAAAGGTAGGTCTCTCTAGATTTCCGTACTCCAGATTAACTCCTGAAGACAAATTCCTCCCATGGAATGCTCAGCACATCCCCAGACAGAGTAGCCAGAGCTGCTAAAGTGGCAGCAAAGTGACATAAGTTTCCAGCCATCCCTTCCAGCCCTTCTCACCCATGCTGAAGCTGTGCCTGCTTTGCTTTTCAGATCCTGCTGGGGGTTTTACAGATGGGCTTCTACCCAGTCTACCTGTCAGAGCCTCTGCTGGGTGGCTTCGTGACAGGCTCCAGCCTCACCATCATCACCTCCCAGATGGAATATCTGCTGGGCTGAAAATCCCCCGTCACGAGGGGGTGGGCTCCTTCCCCTCACCTGGGTGGACCTGTTCAGGCACATCCACAACACCAACATCTGCGACCTGCCCACCAGCCTGGTGGCTTTGGCCATCATCGTGCCCGTCAAGGAGCTCAACGAGCGCTACGAGGAGAGGATGAAGGCCCCGTTCCCCATGGAGCTGCTGGTGGTCATCGTCGCCACCGGAAATGGAGTCAAGCCTCGTGTCTCCACACACGGAGAGTCCTCAACACGCTACTTTGGCTTCCAGCAGCGCTACAAGGCCGCTGTGTGCAGGGACATCCCCACGGGCTTCAGGAAGCCCACTGTCCCAGACATCAGCCTGTTTCCCAGCCTGGCACTGGATGCTCTGCCCATCGCCGTCATTGGCTTTGCCACGACCGTGTCCCTGGCAGAAATCTTTGGCAAAAAGCACGGCTACGCCGCCAGCGCCAACCGGGAGATGATCGCCATCGGCTTGTGCAACCTCATCCCCTCCTTCTTCTACTGCTTTGCCAGCTCTGCTGCCCTGACCAAGACTCTGCTGAAGGAGTCCACGGGGAGCCAGACCCAGGTGTCCGGGCTGGTCACCTCCCTGGTGCTGCTGCTGGTGCTGCTGTGGATCTCCCTGCTCTTCTACTCACTGCAGACCTCCATCCTTGGCGTGGTCACCATCGCCAACCTGCGGGGTGGCCTCAGCAAATTCCGTGACACCCGCAGGATGTGGCAGCTCAGCAAGCTGGACACGGTGGTGTGGTGGACAACCATGCTGTGCTCCACGCTGGTCACCACAGAGATTGGGCTGCTGCTGGGCGTTTGCTTCGCCCTGCTCCGCATCATCTTCCGCACGCGGCTGGGCAAGGTCAGCGACAGGGGGATCCACGAGGACCAGGCTGCCTACAAACAGCTCGGCAGCATCGCCAGCGTCAAAATCTTCCGCTTCGAGTGCTCCCTCTACTACGCCAACAAGGATTACTTCAAGGCTGTGCTGTACCAGAAAACCGGGGTCAACCCCGTCCTGCTGGCTGCCAGCCGCCCCGCCTGCGGGCACAGGCAGAGCCAGAGCCGGGCAGCAGCAGTTGGGCTGCTGGGCCACCGGCTGTGGCTGCCTGAAACAGGCCAGGAGCAGGGCTGAGAGACCTCCAGGAGATGCCTGTCCTCCCTGCACAGACATGCACACCCTGATCCTGGACTGCGGGGCCATGCGGTTCATAGACACCGTGGGTCTCTCTGTGCTCAAGGAGACACACCATGACTACAAGGAGGTGGGTGTCCAGGTGCTCCTGGCCAAATGCAATCTCTCCATCCGCCAGCGGCTCCGGGAGGGAGGCTGGGCTGGCCGGGTGGGGGGCACTGGGGGCCAGCTGGCCTTCCACAGCATCCACGATGCCGTGCAGTTTGCTGAGCTCTGGCACCGGGGGGAGAGCACGGACACACAGGCTGCTCTCCTGGAGCCCGAAGAACAGAACTTCCAGGTGGCTCCGTAGCCCTGGGTGCGAGGAGAGGGGAGCAGGTTTGGTGTTTGTGCCGTCAGAGCGAGCAGGACGGGCTGGGATGCTCTGCCAGAGGGGCAGAGGGGTGGGAAGGGATCGGGGAGAGCTGAGCTCAGGATGGAGCAGAGGATGGGAAGGGTTTGGGGAGAGCTGAGCTCAGGATGGGGCAGAGGTGGGAAGGGTTTGGGGGGCTGAGCTCGGGATGGAGCAGAGATGGGAAGGGTTTGGGGGTGCTGAGCTCGGGATGGGGCAGGGGTGGGAAGGGTTTGGGGGTGCTGAGCTCAGGATGGAGCAGAGGTGGGAAGGGCCGGAGCTGCGCCTGCCCCGCGTGGCCGCTGGAGGGCGCCAGTGAGCCGCGAGCGGGGTGAGCTCGGGATGGGGCAGGGGTGGGAAGGGTTTGGGAGGGCTGGGCTCGGGATGGGGCAGAGGTGGGAAGGGTTTCGGGGGGCTGAGCTCGGGATGGGGCAGGGATGGGAAGGGTTTGGGGGTCACTCATCCCAGCCCATCCCTGCTGTGACAGGGACCCCAAAAACTCCTGCACTGATCCCAGCCCATCCCTGCTGTCACAGGGACCCCAAAACTCATCCCAATCTCCCCCTGCCATGGCAAGGACCGTGAGCATCATCCATCCCCACCCCCAAAAGAAATCCTGCTGGAGGGAATTGTGTCTTGGAAGCCCAGGGATGGGAGACTGCTGTAAATAAAGTGTGTGGAAAAGGAATCCTGTGGCTGTGCTCAGGAAAATGCCTTTTTGTGCTTAAAAATTGATTTTAAATAGATTTAAAAATTATTTTAAACGGGGTGCTCGGCTGCTTGCAGTCCTTGGGGCAAGGCTGTGCCAGGGGGGCTGAAGTGACCAAAGATCTCCTTGCAGGGAGGGATGGATGTTTGTGCTCCAGGTGCTCCAGGTGTGGGTGGGATGCAGCTTCTCCAGCTCTTTCCAAGGATCCTCTCAGGCCATCCCAGAGTGAGGAAACTCCCCAGGGAGTTCCCTCAGCCCCAGAACAAAGAGGAATGGGGCACTTCAGCGGGGGAATAAAACCAGCAAGGCAGTAAAAACCTCCTGTTCCCTGACCCCCCTTCCCCTTCTGAACAGCACTGCCATCATCTCCTTCACAAGACTCTTTATGGAGCAAATGAAAGTGTTCTGGTTAGGCTTCAGAGGTATTTATGGTCTCAGTGGAGTCATCAAGGCCCAGCAGGAAATAAAGGCAGTGCTGGTAAAGCCTTGGCACAGCCTGGTGCAGCCCAGGGCAGAGATCCTGCAGTGGGACACAGATCAACACGTGGGCAGCTGGGGCAGTGCCACAGAGACACCCAGCACTTCTCGGGGGTGACAACCTCCTCCCCTGTCCCCTCCAGCCCTGGGACCTCGCTGGCAGCCCCTGCCCAGCTCTCCCAGCCCCAGCACCCCTGTCCCCACACTGCCAGGGCAGCCCAGCATTGCTGGGTTTATGTCACTTTCTGTGAGAGCCCAGGGCTGGCAAAGTGACAGAGGAGGGGCAGATGGCACTGCCCGAGGCCAGTTTTGGGCAGAGCTGTGGCAGGACAGCCTGGGCCCCAATGTCCCCCTGGGGAGCAGCCCCAGGAGCTGCCACTCTGTGCCAGGACCCTCCTGGAGCATCCCCAGGGGCTGGGGAAAGGCCAGGCAGCTGAAAGCAAATTCTCTCCCCCCTGGCATGCAGATCCCTGCTGCTGCTGCTGCTGCCCGTGCCCCCTGCCTGGCTGGGCTCTATAAATACTCCAGCACTGGCACGAGGAGAGGATTTGCTGCTGAGGCTTTGTCAGCCGCACTGGGAGCTGACTGTGCAACTGGTAATTATGGCTCAGCAGCAGCTGGACAGGTTTAAATCCTTTTGATGCTTTGAAATGTTCCCTCCGGGGAGGTTGGAGGAGTAAAGGTTGTGGCTGGTGCTGATTGCTTCCCCTCTGGAGGCACTGATTGCTGCACCCAGGGCTGCTCTCCTCTCTGCCAGGGCCTGTTCCTGGAAAAACAGCCCCTGGAATGGCAAGAAGTTGCTTCTGCAGCTCTCTAAGTGCTCTGAAGCAATTAATGTGCTGCCAGCATGGGATTATCTCCATGAGCACTGCCCCAGCAGACAAAACTCAGCTGGAGAGAGCATCGTGCCACGCTGGGGACAGGATGGCACAGGGACGGGCAGCTCTGCTCGATCCCAAAGGAGGGAACCCCAAAGGCTTCTCTGGGGCTTTTCACAAACAGGACAGGACTGCTGGGCTTTGTGCCTCGAGCTTTATTGCAGCATCAGCCTCAGCACGTGGCTGAGACCACTGGAAGGTGGCCACAGCTCACATCCTGCCAGCAGCAGCCAAAGATTTCCTTCTTCCAGAGCATTTGAAAAACTTTCTAGCCAACAGCATATTGCTAAAGCTCACAGACAATTGTTCTGGCCAGTCACTAACAGCACAGGAACTCCTGCTGCACAAAATGCTTGTCTGCCTTTTATTAACAACACACAACACTTCATTATTGAGCTTTAAACCTTCCATTTCTGCACTCTGAAGGCCCATCTCAGCCAAAGCCTAAAACTCAAGCTATTGTTTCATGTCATATTGTTTGCTTATATTTATTGTTTCATATTGTTTGCTTGCTGTACTATTGTAACTTTTCTACTGTCACACCTTGCAGCTGCAGCCAGCTCTCATTTCTCTGCTCCTTCTGTTTCTGAGGTTTGCTTTTCCCAGATTTCTGAAAGGCTTTGCTGTTTCCCCCAGCAGGGCAGGGGAGGGCTCTCGGTGTCACCTGCCACAGGATGGCCCCGTTGTGTCACACCGCTGTCCCCACCCTGGGGCTGTCCCACACCCCTGGGCTGTGGCTGGACCACAACCAACCAATTCTTTCTAATTTTTTATATTTTTTCCCCCTTTTTTTATCACTCCAGGAGCTGCATTCCTGCAAACACCTGTGCGTGGCCCCAGGGAGGAAGGGCAGCAGCTGCTGCTGCTGAGAGGTGATTTCCCCTTGCTGAGCCCTCCCCTCCCTGTGCCCAGCCCATCCTCTGTGCCCTTTCAGCTCCAAACCCCTGCCGTGGCTGGGAAGCTGCAGAATGGCTTTCCCTTCAAGGCTTTGTGCTTATTGCCCGTGAATTTTGCCCAAACCCGGGTGGAAACTGCAGAAAGGAGGTGTGAGAATGGCTGAAGGTTAAACGTGGCACAAGAGGTGAGTTAAATTTGGGTGGGGAGCTCCTGGTGTTTGTTTACTGGAAGGGCAAATACTGAATTGTCTTCTGCATTTATTGAACCCAGGGCTGGTTGTGTAAATCCAGTTGTGCCTTTGAGCCTCAGCCAGAGAGGGGAAAAGCCCTGAGTCTGTCTTACCAAAGCCTGGCCTAAACCTGTGGGTAGCACAGCTCTGGCTTAGCTCCTTGCTGCAGATCCCTGGATGCCAGCCTGGAAACACGAGAGCAACGTGAGGAAAAACCATCCTGGGAAGGAGCTGAGCTCAGGACTCACTGCCCTGGGCACAGGTTGGTTTTACCTCTGGGGGTTGGCAGGAAGGGTTTGCAAACCACTGCAGGCTCTTCTCATCTCTTTGAACAGCTCTGAATAAAGAATTCTCCTTCTTTTTCCTTTTATTTTGCGATAGGGAATTAACAATCAGAAATGATGCTGCCTCACCTAGCAGGTAAAGGATTTGGGAAATCGGTTTTGCATCTCACAGAAGCCCCAGACAGCAGAGCCACTGCTCACACAGCTGCAGAGCCCAGGGGACAAAGGCACAGCAGCAGCCTGAGGTTCCCAGGGGTCCCCAAAGGGTCCCCAAAGGCCAGGGGTGGGCAAGGGGAAATCTCTCTGCAGGTTTATTTTGGTTTTGTGCCCAACCCCAGTGGAACTGGCTGCGTGCTGCCATGGAAACAGCAGCAGGGTTTGCAGCCATCTCCAGGGAGCAATCCTGGGGAAAATCACCCCAAAGCATCCCCTGGTGCTGGGGGCTGAGGGAGCCACGCTCACACGGGGCAGGACCTTTGTCACAGCCACCGAGGGGACACAAACACCAGCCCAGGGCCGGGGAGGTCTCTCTGGAGCAGAGCTGGTGTTAGAAAAGCAGTGTGACCCAAGGGGTGTGGTGGCAGCAGGGAAGAGACTGCAAGGGTTAATCTGGCAGCAAACATCTCATTCAGCCCAGCAGAGAGCAGAAAAATTACTCGGCTTTAATCTACTTTGTCTCCAG